TACCTGATCGATCGGTTCACGGAAGAATTTTAGGTCCAGATCGACTCCAAACTCCAAACAAGAATCTCCACCAAAACAAATAGCCCCCTCGACGAGATACACCGATGCCGACCTGACACGACAACGAGAGGGGAACAAGTTTTATCTGTCGACTCGACCCCATGTCAAAAGTAATACTCGTGATCGTATATAATGAAGATAAAGATAAAATTCAAACACGTAAAAAACATTAGCACATGATTATTTAACTTTAATTATTATGGATTTAAAACATAAATTTATTTATATTTTGAAAATAATTCCTATGTAGAAAATTTTGGCAAGAAAAATATGCTAATAGAAATTAAGATAAAAATCTTTATTAGAAAAAGAATACCAACATAATGCAGGATCATCATGTGACGGGATGACGGCAACGATGTCTCGTTGGTCAAGTCCATCAAATTCCGGGTTTTCCATTACGAAATTCGTAAAGGTCAAGATGCCAGGTTTTCTAAATGTGATTGGGCCGTTCGATCGTCGCCTGGGACGACACTCTTGCTTGGTACTCCAGTAGTTAGGCCACGCTTTTCCAGCACAAAGCCTAAGCTAGTGAACAACCCAAATGGCCGACAGGTAGAACAGACACGATAGCGTAGCATTATATCACGGTAGTAGCTGGCATTAGCAGCTAGGTACTCCTGCTGTTAGTGACGACTGCCTACACCGATTCGTCTTACGCATTACCCATCACATCATCACCCCCTGATCATGAAAGCTTCCATTTCATGCATGCGGATCTTAAAAATAATACTCCACTCTTTTTATTAAGATAGAAATATGCTATTGCTTCGTACCTGGCCAGGCCCATATAATTAGAGATTAGTTAGGTGTGTTACAAATAAAGTACAGGCTAGATCCATATAATTGGAGAATAAGAATAGAAGGAATAAAGTACTGGATTCTATGATGGTTACATACACACAAAGGAACGAATCACCCCTTGTGCGTATGGTGGAAACTGGAAAGGGGATAGATGGAGGGAGGACTTGCGATTTTAAATTGGTAGAGATATATGATGTCGTTTACTTTTCAAAAAGCCACCTCGTTTGCTTTCAAACCCTGGTAATTCTCACATTAATCGAAAAAAAAGAGAGTCCAATTAGAATTTATAATATCTCAAATTGGGATTTTAAAAATATAGGGGAAAAGTCAAAAATCGAAAAAGAAGAATATGAGCATAAATACAATTTTAAAAATAATATATTTTTTTTAAAAAAAAAGAAAAAAAAAGTCAACGTAGAAATACAATTTAATATGAAATTCATATTAGAAAGAGTCCCCATTTGAATACTTTTTTAAAAAATAAAAATAAAAGAAGACTCCATATAGAACACAATATGGATTAACAAAAAATGTAGTAGAAAATAATAAAAAGAAGCAACTTGATTGAAATAAAAATTGCAAAATAAAATAAAATTCAATAAATCTAGGAGTAAAAAAAAGAACATGTGTCGATGCAAAATATAAAATAACAAGAGTCCATGTCTAAATACAACTTATAAATGCCAAAAGCACAATACGTGCAAGACTACTAGAGTGATATTAATTTTGGACTTAAAAAGCTCGAGTATAATTGATTTTTGATGAAAAATCCAGACTAAATCTCTAAAATGCTAAAATTCGGAACGAAAAATTAGTGAATCAGGAAAAAAAGTAAAAGTATCTGTTTTATTCTATAAGATTTAAATTAGAATTGATCTATTTTAGACGATACAATGAAGCTTCCTAAATTGTGCTACCCATCCGAACTAATAACTATAGTGAAGAGGAGTAATTTGTAATCATGTAAAATATCTCATCAATAAGCGCGGACAATAAGTGACATTTTCTTATTTGAATGAGTTATAAACTATCACAAATATAGCCTAGTGATTGCAGTGACCTGAGTAGCACCTAAGGTCCTGAGTTCAAATCTCCATAGGAGCGAATTTCAGATTGGGTTATTTGGGGGCTAAGTTCCTAATTAAAAAAAGGCTGCATATATCCGATTGGGTACAGAGGCCGAGTAAAAAATACCCTTCTCTAAAAAAAATAAAAAAAATCACAAATATGCAATATCCATATTTGGTAAGGGAAAGAATGCCATCGGAGATGATGAGAAAATGCCAATATTAGTCTGAAGATAGAGAAACATATGTACCACAAATATTTTATATCTTTGATCTATTATATACTCTCTGTTTTTTAATATATGAGACCGTTGACTTTTTGAGATATGTTTGACCATTCGTCTTATTAAAAAAATGTTTAATTATTATTTATTTTATTGTGACTTGATTTATCATAGAATGCTCTGTCGACGTTTGATGTCTCGACTACGGAATTTGCATGGCATGGGGATCGTTGGTACTAGGATATACGTGAGACTGAGGTAAAAGAGATGGAGACAGGGATTTTTATACAGGTTCAGGCCCCTGAATTGTCAGGTAATAACCCTACATCCTGTTGGCCGAAGCCGGTATTGCTCTTATTCATAATAATCACACCAGTACAATATTTGGGGTAGCCTATCTAACTGTTGTCGACATGGCGGTCTGAAGATCTGACTCGTAGTCGACAACAGGGTAGCCTTCCTACTCGAATCCGTGCCCGGCGAGATCAGAGATAGCGCTTTCATCTCTCCTGACAGTATCCGGAGACACCGTAGGGTACTAGCCATGCTTATCCCTGAAGTCGATATCCGGCGGCGTGTCTTGGTGTATGTAGGCTTCTATGTTGTGGCTTCTATGTTGATTGTGTTGGGTGTTGATCCCCTCCCCTCTCCTCCTAGGGGGGCTTGTATTTATACCCATAGGTGTCCCCTTGTCCAAGTAGAATTAGGGAAACCAATATGGATACAATTCGAGTAGTCCTTGTCGTTTCCATGTAGAACTCTGGTTGTCTTTCCTTATCCGGAACTCATCCTATATCCGAAGGTTGCTTCCGTATAGGACATGGTATGTAGTGGGTCCTGCCGAGATTTAGTCAACTACTATTAGGTATGTGGTATCCATAACCCTGACATGCTCTTTAAGTATGGCTTAAATATTTTTATATTTGTACAAAAATTTTGAATAAGACGAATGGTCAAACATTTGTCAAAAGGTCACTGTCCTCATATATAAAAACAGAGGTAGTATATTGTTAAATAAATACTAAAAGGAGCCATCATGTTTGCTTTATGTAGAAATAATTATCATCTTAATAGGAATATTAGATGCATAAACTTTGATCAAATTAGGCTAGAATTCAAAATTATATTGCCATTTTCAATTTTTTGTTTCTCAATAAAGTATGAAATTATGTCCACTATTTTTTGGAACACTAAACCATACCTATTATTGCACGGAAAACTTTTGTAATAATACAGGCCGCGTAATTTGCACATGGCAATGCTAGTTTTAAATAAGATAAATAAGCAACTTATGTTAAAACCTTAATCGTGTCTACATCTATACTACTTTAAACAAAGTCGTCCTCGAATTTCACACCCTTTTCCAAGTTGTCCGCTTCTTCGTGCATGTTTTTTTTTCTTATAATTCACCCACCCGGCCAATCCCCGATCATATGTGGGCCTGGCCCATTGATAAGCACACTCATCTAGCCAACTTTGGTCCGTTGCAAAGCACTGGATTTTTCACATTTTAGTCCTTTTAAAAAACTTATTTCGTAAATAGACCCCTGAAAAAACTTATCCCAGAAATGGTCCTTTTTTGGGCGCCAGAGTGGCTGGCGCCGTCATCCAACGGGACGGCGCCAGAGAGGCTGGCGCCGTCCTCCTGCCACCGTGGTGCACGCGAACCGACGTGGCAGGAGGAGGCCGCCAGCCATGCTGGCGCCGCCGCCTCTATTCCTGTTTCTCTGTATGGAGTTGCAACGGTGTCATTTTTATTTTATTTTTTTGGATGTTTTCTCACACTTAGGATCACGATACAACCAACCACAAAAAAAATTTTAACTCGAACTACCACTTAGCTAAGTCTGAAAATAGCTAGCATACCACTTAGTCTACTTTGCACCTTCACTAAAATTAGACCATAATTCCTTTAGTAAAACCCTTTGATCAGCATGTTAAACATAATGCACTCTACCACTATATGAACTTACTTAATCTAATTCAAAATATAACCACATGAAATGACATATATAAGTTAAACAGTACATAGAGATGCAATTTTTTTTATTTTTATTTCATTTTTTTATATTTTTTTCACACTTAGGAGAACATAGGAACCAACCGTATAAAAAATAAACTCAAACGGATAAAATATGTGACTTGTAGAATTTTTTAGAACTCTACCGAAACGGACAAAATATGTCATCTATTAAAATAGGCGTAACTTTCTCATACGGACTCTGAATCAGGCAAATAATATATGCACGGACATCTACAGAAAATGTTACATCCGATTCTCCCTAGCTTTGCAGGGTTCGGCGATATTAAAACCTCCAAATTCCGCTTGCAAGATTGTGTTTTCGAGGAGAGAAGTTTTTCGGTAGAACTTTGGAAAATTCCACATGCCACATATTTCGTCCGTTTGAGTTTATTTTTTACATGGTTGATTCCTGTGAGTTCCTAAGTGTGAAAAAAATATCAAAAAATAAAATAAAAATAAAAAAGTTGCACATCTCTCCTTTGCACTAGTTCGGAGAGAGAGGAGAGGAGAGGAAAAATTCTACAGGTCACATATTACGTCCATTTGAGTCCAATTTTTCTATGGTTGGTTCTTGTGTGTCCCTAAGCGTGAAAAAAATATCAAACAAATAAAACAAAAATAAAAAATTTTGGGGGGGGGGGGGGGCGCCAGCCACTCTGGCGCACTCCCTAGCCACCTCAGCATCGCCCCGCCACGTCGGCAGGGGGACGGCGCCAGAGAGGCTGGCGCCGTCGTCCACTGGCGCCCTAAAAAGGACCATTTTTGGGATAAGTTTTTCTAGGGGTCTTTTTGCGAAATAAGTTTTTTAAAAGGACCAAAATGTGAAAAATCCAGTTGCAAAGCACATGTGTCTTATACTAGTATTAAAAAAAAACAGGAATAATAGTACAAAGATTTATCAGTTGACACGAGCTGAGTACACCACTTCACCGGGTAGTCTAGCTTGCCTAGCCTAACCCTTTCTGCCGCCGCCGCCGCCGCCGCACCACCACCGGTCGCCCGTGCCCCGGCCACCGCAAAAGATATTCGAGATTCACCGGTCATCACCACCCCCATCCTTTGTACTTGTAGCTTCGCTCTTTCCGATCGCTTCCACGCCGCCGCGACACGTGGTGCACCACCGTGTCGGTCAAACTTTGGCCATCACCACGTCGGCTGCGGCGGGAGCCACCGCGCCATCCTTCTCCCCGCCGGCGGTGCCAGCGCCGGCAACGACGACGCCGCCGCCGCCGTGTTCCTCCCGGCTCTTGCCCCATAGCACGTTGTAGAGGCCGGCGACGAGCAGCAGGCTGCCGATAATGCTGTGCGCACCGAGAGAGAGAGAGAGAGAGAGATCAGCTCTTTGTCAGGATATATATCACGACATCGACGTTCGCTATCTGACGATCGATGCGAAGTGTGCGCGTGAGGGATCATGACAGCGAGAGGAGCAATATAGATGCATCTGGTGCTTTGTGCCTCGTGATGGCGAAGGGCATGTCACTCATGTCGATCAAGAATGAGCGCTTAGCTTTTAGTTAATTACCTTCCTAGGCTGACGTCCTCGCCGAGCAGGAACGAGGCGATGGCCATGGTGAAGACGAGGCTGAGCGGCATCGACATGGACAGGAACACGGGGCCCTTCTTCTCGATCACCCATATCTGCAGGTAGTACGAGATCGCCGCCACCACGATGCCCTGATGAGAAATTAATTAACAAACATATTCATGCATTGATTTCAAGGGTGAATGATGAACAAGAACTGGAAATCAACCGGCCGAATCATCGATCGATCGATGCCAGTCTTACGGTGAAGAGGACGCCGACGAGGCTGACGACGCCGGGGAGGATCCACCGGGAGAAGTCCCTCTCGAGGACGAGCGCGATCACCAGCGACTGCACGCTCGCGAACACGCACTGCAGCGTCGTGTTCATCAGCTTCGACGGGTACTCCAGCAGCAACGGCCCCTGACAAGATCGACATATGCAGCTGATTAATCGATCATTCGATCGTCCATTGATTATTTGATTAGTTTAGTAACCTGCTTCACCGTCCAGAACGACCATATCACGACGGAGGTGGTCATCAGGAAGATCCCCAGCGCCCAGTTCTTCTTGGAATGCGCCGCGGCGGCGGCGGCGGCGCTCGCATGGTGGAGGAGCTGGTGGTGGTTCAAGGACTTGAACTCCGGGCCTTGGTACAGAGCCAGCACGATGACGCCGCCGATGCAGAGGAGTATCCCCGATGCTTTCGCCATGCCATGGGTGCTCTTCAGGTTCAGAGTCTCCATCCTTGGTTTGCAATCAAGAAATCAATGTTCGTCAGTTCAGTGATCAGATTGTTACTAGCACTAAACACGATCAGATTGTTTTGATTCTTGTCTGACCTGAACATGACAGCCAAGATGAAGGCGACCACCGGCACGATGTTGAAGATGGCCGACGACGAGGTGGCCGACGCGTAATTCAGGCCAATGCTGTACAGGTTTATCGTTCCGGCCATCCTGACAAATTTTCAGCAAAGGAGTTCTTATTCAGAAATCAGAACAACAGTCTGTTCTTCAGCTAGAACACACACTAGATGTTCTATTCATCAACATACCCATAGAATCCATGGACGAAGATCTTGGCAGACAGCCGAAACGTCAGCGGCGGCGCCTGCTTCTTCCTTGCAGATTAAAGAACACCATATCAGATCAACACTTCCATCCATCCATGACAGTTTCAGAGACTGAATGAACAACCCATTGGCTGCTAGCTAGCTATACCTGATCTCGAGGAAGTAGGCGAAGGGTAGCAAGAAGATGGCGGCGACGGCGTGGCGGTAGAACACGAACACCGTGGTGCTGGCGCCCTCGTTGAAGGAGGCCTTGGTGAGTATGTGCATCCCGGCGTATATCAGCCTGATGAGCACCACCGTCGCGTACACCTTGCCGTTCCCCATGGCTGGCTGCCACTGATCAAAGCTACTAGCTAGCTTAGCTAACACTGAGATGATCACTTGATGTATCAATACTGTTTTTGTGTATGCTTCACCAAGCTCCCTATATATACTATCTGTGTGTGTGTGGTAGCTACCTAGCTATAGAGCCTAGCTGTTAGTCATTTTGTGTGAACACTGAAGACTCTACTAAGGCTCTGTTTAGTTCACACACAAAAATTTTACACCCTATCACATCTAACGTTTAAACACTTGCATGAAGTATTAAATATAAGTTTAAAAAATAACTAATTGCACAGATTGCGACTAATTTGCGAGACGAATCTTTTAAGCCTAATTGCTCCATGATTTGACAATGTGGTGCTACAGTAAACATTTGCTAATGATGGATTAATTAGGCTTAATAAATTCGTCTCGCGGTTTACTGACAGATTCTGTAATTAGTTTTTTTAATAGCGTCCGAACGCCCCATACGACATCCTATATAATACCCGATGTGATACTTAAAAATTTGACACCCCTGGATGTAAGCACCTCCTGAAGTGAGATATGCAAAGGAGGAGACAAGCTGAAGCTTCTTAGCATGTTCTGCTTCAATTCTGCATGATCCATGCTGGATCAGATCAGATCAGATCAACAACAATTTTCAGGTTGATACAGTGGTCATAGTATGGGCAAAAGGGCTTACAACAAAAACAAAAGAAAGATAAAGTTTTGTGTGTGTGTGTGTGTGCAAAAGGGTTCAGGTTAGGTTGACAAGACAGGATTTTGAGACGGCAAGGATATCATGATTCATGAGTGAGTTTTTAAAAGAAACCGAAGAAAAGATCAGATTTTAATTGGTGCAATGGTCATGTTAACTGAAAGATATACGAGTAGTGCGCTGGCCACATACGAAAACAAAACTGCCACTTGAATCAGCAGAATGGCAATTTGTTGGATAAAGCGCGAGTGCCCTGAAATTGTTTAGGGCAAAAAGCTTAGGCTATATAATACCCTTTGGTGAAGCTTCCTTGGCTAACCGTATGATTATTATTTTTTTGGGATGAATATCATGTGCGCCGTTAGGAAATAGTTTACAATTTCGCAGTGACCGATAGCAAGTGACTTCGAGTCTTTGCTTAGCTGACTGACTGACTGACTGCCTGCTACATGATCGGTTTAATTAATTTGACATCTCCATTAAATTCTCCCATGTTCTACTGGCAAATTAACATGTTATAAGTCCATTGACTTTAGCCAGCAATGGTCTTCTAAATAATTAACTATTTCCTCCTTTTTATATTATAATTTGTTTTGATTTTTTTCTTAATCACTTTTAGGTTTGACCAAATTATAAAAATAATTAGCAATATCTTCAACATCAAATTAGTTTTATTATATAAAACTTTAAATATATTTTGATAACATGTTTGTTTTGTGTTGAAAATGTTACTATATTTTTTTTATAAATTTGGTCAAATTTAAAAAAGTTTGAGTAAGAAAAAGGTCAAAAGAAATTGAGGGAGTACAGCCGTCCAAAGAAATCGAACTTAGTATAACAAATTTGGACACCAATTGTGTTTGTTTTATTAAATGGAGGGAGTACTCCTTTGCCTTTCAATTGATCATAATAGAATGCACCAAGACCAAGGAAAGTCAAATAACTCTCAAGTACTATATTTATTCTAGTATTACCATCCCACTGTTTTTTTAGCTAATAATTAATAACCAATACATTACATGCTGATAAAAAAATCTTGTATGCATGGGAATGCATGCACCAATATCTATTACTTTCGTACATAGATAAGGGGGATAAGGGGTAGACTTAGGAAAATAATATTAATACGATAATCATTTGAAAATAACCTTAAAAAATATATGATGATAAATTAGGATAGAAGGAATTACTACGTGATCGGAATGGCCTTTAACACTATTATTATCTCTGTTGACTGTTGACAAATGATATAACCATGTAGTCCTAATTAAGTCATGTCGATTCACTGTAACCTTCGGACTCTTGGATACAAATTAAAAGGGATTTTCAACATCAGTAGATGCAATGTGAGCTTTCTGAATCTTCTTTTTTTTTCTCTCTCTCTCTTTACGAAAAGATGCATGTATGACCACCTTTACCACGTTCAAAGCTGAAAGTGCTTTGTCTAGCTACACCCTACACACACGTATTTCACGATCACACACACTAAATTATTTTAATTTTACTTGTGATATCTGAAATGGAATTAGTAGCCGTGGACTGAACACAGAATATTTCCCTTTTCTTTAAATTTTATGGTTCTGATGGCTGATGCATGGCTGCTGAGCTCAAAGGAGTGGAATCTAGGACGTGAGCAGCATACGTAGGCGGTAAGAAGGTAATATATTGCATTCCTTAATAAGTGGTATCTTACCTTTCATCATATAGGTTCTTTCAAGCCCTGGAAGGTATATAAAATTTAATTAAGGGTCTTCTTTTTCATGTCATCATTCTGTAGCATAATAATATTTACACTGGTGACATAAGGCCATTCCCAACCCAATAACTAGGATGATGTATATAGCATTAAATAAGCTGCCACCTAGATAAAAAATGATGTGGCAAGTGAATAAATGAGGAAAGAGAAGGAAACCATATCTTGCATGAGACATGGTTTCTACATAACATCCAAGACATCATGTGAGATAAGTAGTATTGAATTTAAGTATGGAATAGTGATGTTTGTATTGGAAGAGTAGTGTCTAGTACTAGTTTCTTGATGATGTTAGTTTATGGAAATTATGTCTAGTGTCTTGGGTTAGGAATGGCCAGAGGGCAAGTTTTATAGTAGAGGTGGGTGCCACATCTAATTTAAACCATATCATCTTCTCATTAATTAAGAGGTAACAAATACAACATGTCACTTCTAGTACACAAACCCCAATATTAATTTACTCTCACATCATCTTACTTTTTTTTAGAAATTGTGAGGAGGTTGCCCCTTGCATGAGGGGTGGCTCATTCTCTCTTCTAACTTCTCTCCTCCAACTCATCACCTAATACTATGTGGCAAATTTAGGGACAACATGTAGAGGCTTATAGTACTTGCCCTAATGCTATTGGCTATAACGTAGGCTAAACCCACCATTAAATACACCCTTATCATTATTGGTATAGTAGTCTGAATGTGCCTAGAAAAACATTATGATGAGGGCACACTACTCATACAACACGGCTCCCTAGACGGTGGCTTCACACGTTAGGCTATTTTCCAAACAGAATTTCCGTGACTTCGGCAGATTCCACGCACCTGGTAAGGCCACCCTCCTAACTCGGTGACTTGCTCCAACGTAAAGGCATGAGGTCACTTGACACGCATGTCACCATATCGTAAGTGCACTTAAAGGATGGAACACATAATCCTCATTTTTATCATGTTGTTTAGATCCTGATTCAACCTATATGATGAGCCCAGTTGAGACTTTCTCCAATTTTGGGTACATCGCATGCCAAAGTCTTATTACCTTAGTGATGGAGTAGCAGTATTGTTTCATAGCAATACTTTTTTATTATATAGGAATATGCACACACACTTGTGAGTTTACCTATTTAAGACACGTCCAACGATAGTGTAACAAGGTTTCCCGAACCGCCAGGGCCGGCCGGGGTTACCACGCATCGGCAGTAAGCGCGGTAACCATGGCAAACCGCATGAAACTGTATAAAGTTTATAAAAAATTTAAATTATTTTCTAAATTTATTTGAATTTAAGGAGGTTACCACGGTTTTTCAATTACCGTACCCCCGCAGTAAACGTAATAACCGCGCGGTAATGCAAACCCTGCGTGTAAACGATAATTTCTACTACAGAATTGTGCATATGGTTTCACTCGTATTACGGTGAAAACTATTGTTTCTTTTTTTAAATTTTTTTACGGCAATACTTATGTGAAATGAAATAAAATAATTGATCATATAACTGTTTTCTTCTTCTTTTTTTTTTGTGATTGATGATATGACATCATGAACGTTCCAACCAAATGACATCACCACTATCCCTGCTGTTTCTTTGTCAACGGTAGACCATACTTATGAAATTTCACGACATTTTCTACAAAGAGAAAAAGGCGGTCGAGTACCTTAAAGCAAACACTGGTGGAGAAACCATCTTTCATCGGTCGGCCGATTTCCACAATAGTCCCGGATGCAATACAAACCGGGGCTAAAGATGATCTTTAGTCCCGGTTCAAAAGGGAAACGGGCATATTTGATCTTTAGTCCCGGTTTGTGTTACCAACCGGGACTAAAGATCATCTTTAGTCCCGGTTCGAATGCTGTCAGGACCTGTCAGGCCCCCCCGGGATCTTTAGTCCCGGTTGGTAACACCAACCGGGGTACCAACCGGGACTAAAGATCTTAACTTTAGTCCCGGTTGGTATTACCAACCGGGACTAAAGATCCCGGTGATCTTTAACCCCGGTTGGTGCTACCAACCGGGACTAAAGTCCCACCCCTATATATATGTCTTCTTCCTCCTCCAGCTGCCCGAGCAAGCTTCAAAATTACTTCAAAAAAGAGGGGAGGTCATGCCAAAATTTCTATTGAATTTATTTTGGTGATTACATACAAATCGGAGGTGCCTAAAAGGTTTGCAACTTCATCCTCCAATGTTTTTTTTTGTCATACTACATTTGCACCTATGTTTTGCACACTTTTTTTTGTCTCCAAAATTTAGTTGTAAGTTGATGAGAGAGAAAATGTGTGTGGGGAAGAAAGAATATATAGAAATTTAGTTCATTTGCTAAACAAGGTTTTATAAAATAGTTGAGAAGGAAAACTCTAGTGAAAGTTAATCTTAAATAATAGAAAACAAACTAAAATGAAAATTAAAAGAAGTAAAACACATTAAAATTAGTTTAAAACTTTACAAATAGTTTTTAAGAATTATTTGGTGTAATATTTTATGATTTTTGTATGAATAAAGATATCTTATAATTATTGTATTACTGTCATTATTGTAAGAATAATTATTTGTGTGCGGTTTTTTTGACTCATGTAGATGGATCGGCAATGGATGTACGCTGACCGGCGGTCCAAAGAGTTTATTGACGGCGTGCACTATTTTTTGAGAGTGGCCGAA